CGAATACTTTCAACGATATATTGATTTGAAATGTTGCGTTACGTCACTTCTATGTACATTTTATACGTAGAAATGACGTTTTAGCCCCCACACCTAAATTTTGATTCGTTTTGTCTAAGTATTGTTTTATTATACAAAAAAATAAAAAAACACATGTCTAATATTTTTTCATTACCTAACTTACGGACGAAATACATTTTTAATTTTCATACCCTGTCATCATCCCAATTACCAAGAAAACAAAAAAAAACAACAATAATTCGTATGTATTTTTTATTGAAATCCGATTTTATGTTACAATTTTTCACCTTTTTAAAATTACAGTTAGTTCAGACCGCGTATTAACTAGAACTCCTCACGTATCCCATTTAACAGTTTATATAATACATTAGTTTATAATTATAGTTTACAAACAACCGCACATGAAACATTTTCAGTATAATCATTTTGGCCTTTATATAAAAAGGTATATCCGAAAGAGAAATTAAATAAGTTGTAAGTTTCTGCTAAATTTTGCGATTGTATCTTGTCTGTAATGGCTAAAAACTATAATTTGATTTACACAACGATAAAAATAATAGAAGTTTGAATCTAAAATACCTTTAAAAACAGTCAAGAATAAATAAAATTAGCGGAATTTTGTTAATGATACAATGTTATTGAAAATAACAACGATTAATCAGTCATTTTGGTAAAAATATTAAAAAAAACTGGACTAGAAAATAATAAAATCATTATATAATTAAATGCCAATAAAGCAAAAATAATGTACTTACTATACAGGACTGTCAAAAAACATCTTATTCAACAAAGGTCATTTTGATACTATTTTGGCGCTAGTGAGCAACAAAGTCATCTAGGTGTAATCACTCTTTCAAAGGTTATGACCAATGGCCAATAGTAAAGGGATCAAAAGACCAAATTCAACACTAGCGCCTCTACCAGAGCGAAAATTAAAATCAGAACTAAAATCTAATGTTTCGAGTACGTTTGACATTAAATTTAGCACAGTCATGTTATTTAATATCATAGATAGTTTCGCTTAAAATCTAAAACAAGTCGACATAATTATTTTTACTATATACATATTATTTCAGTTGATTTTTAACATATATGACATCATTTTAAATTTGAAACAAATCGTTTGGAACGACCTAAACGCTTAAATACATGATTTATCTTTTTGAAATTTATCTCATTGTCTTTTTAAAATAATACTGTTTGATCTTTTAAAGACAATAATTTAATTATTATGATTACAATAATAATACTAGAGACGAAATTATCACAGCAAATAAAATACTGATGTATACTAAAACTAGTTAAAGGGTTAACAAAAAAGATAATTTTGGCATCTAAGAGTAAGCTTAAATAAATTAATAATAGTAAATAATCAGTCGATTAAAAAAACTCACGAATCATTCACACACATATATGGTATCATTTCACCAACTTATCTGTTCAAAGGGGTAGACAGAACTGAATTAATTTTGAATAATGTGTTATGGAGTTTCTTGCTTGTTCTTCTCCATACGAATTTATACTTTGGAACAAGCAAGCTTCACTGATCGACAGAAATACATGTTTATCTTCAATTATGTTGTTGGGGTAAGTGCCTTTTTGTGTTCACTTGAAATAAGTAAATAATTATATTGAACAGTTAGGTTCGTGATAAGTTCAGTCATCATAGATTGAATACGAATTATTAGCATTGTAAAATTTGATAAGTTTTACTGCATCGTGCGCTTCTTGCTACATCTTCAAAAATAAAAGGATGATAGTCACTTCTGTGTTGTTTTACTTGCTTTTACTGTAGTGGGGAATATAGTAAAAGTACTGCAACTAACATAATGTTATAGTGTTTATTTGTTTTTTATGCTTTATGCTTTTTCTAGCCTAGGGCAAAGTCATTGTTTCAGTATTTAATACAATGCCAACATTTCGTCCCCAATCAAAGTGACAATAAAACTATAAAATTAACATTACTATTATAAATTAGTTTGACTAGACGCTTAACATACAGTTGTCACATTTTCGACTAGAATATGTTACAAATTTTATATAACTCACTTTCATTTCAGTTCATTATTATTAATTTTAAGTAAATTTAAAAACAATGGCTTCTTGCACCGCGCGAGCTGATTAATACTGACATATTACAGAGCATTTTTTACATATAAAAGATTATAAACACATTACCCTCTGCATGGTCGGGTAAAAAGATACAAAATTATTCTGGAATGTATTTCAAAACATGATAGTTTTGTACTTTAAAGATTTAACATAAAATTACGCATTCTAATCCATAAAGGGTTAGACAGAGGTTTACATGATATACAATTTATGTTATAAGTCCCATTTCATAGGGGGTGATTAATAACAACATAACATCACGCCTTTAATCCCCTAAGGGGTAGGCATTAAGAGGTGCGCATTACGGCACTTAATGGTACTGTACAATGTAACACCCACTTTTCACTATTTATGTTATGAATCCCATGTAATAGGGGGTGAGGCTATTGCCATTTGCGCATTTGTCGATTGCGCATAATTAATACTTTTGAGTATTTATTGTTTTATCTGTTTCAACAGTTTTCATACATATTTTAATATATTTTTATTATGACAAAATCATAATAACATCTTTATAATGGCGCCTTTTCACTTTGTGATAAATCAAATAACAATTTTATTATTTTTAATGACTCTGCCTCGTTGGCCGAGTGGTAGCAAGTGCGACTGCCGGGCAAGGGGTCTCGGGTTCGATTCCCGGGTCGGGCAAAGTATTACTGGGTTTTTAAATAATTCTCAGTAGTAGCACGGAGTCTGGTATTGTGCCCGGTATATGGCAATAGGCTCACCCCCTATTACATGGGACTCATAACATAAATAGTGAAAAGTGGGTGTTACATTGTACAGTGGCAAAATGTGCACCTCTGCCTACCCCTTCGGGGATAAAAGGCGTGATGTTATGTTATGTTATGTTATGTTATTTTTAATGATTTTTAAAACCATACTTTTGGATAAAATTTGTCAAATAGATATAGTAACTGAATCTTTAAGATTACATTAATTTCGGATTAATACAAAACATTTCTCCTTTTGTAAAATATTGGAATTAAAAATTGCTAATTTTTGGCATTATAATTTTCAACAATAAATCTTGTCTTTTAAAAAGATTAAAATCTTATTTGAAAAATCAATAATTTTGGCTTATAGCGACTTAACAGCATAGATAATAAATTCCTGGAATATATATAAATATTGGAATATACATAATAATTATAATTTAAAACATTGGCGCGATATAGAAATTCGGAATTTCATATTACAATAAATATTTTAATATATAAATTAATGACTGGGAATCGTCATGGAAAAAAACACTTAAAATTAAACATTTGACTAGAATATTTTTAATAATACGTAATAGTTGATTAACTATAGCATTTTGGGACCATTTTGTCATAAAATGTGGTCTGGGAGCATGGTTGCAAAATATATGCTAATGTAATGGCTGAAATATGTCCTATTTTGGGAACATTTTCATTTATATTGCAATAAACCATTGAAATTTAACAATTTTATCTATTGATTCGATTATTAGTCATGTTTACTTGCGCAAACTATTATTTAACTAAATATATATTTGACAATTGGCGCAAAAAGTGTAGGATGCGCAAATGGTAAGCCGATGCTATCTATTGCCACGTTTCATGGCGCATACTGCTCATGATTATGAGCCCCTGTTGTGGCTTGAATTGAAATGTGTCGAGTAACTACAATATTTGAGTAAGATGGTTGTGATGATGTAGTTCCACCTTTTTGGTACGCAGATAGAGTTGGTCTGTGTATAAAATGTCTCAAATTCTTTACCATGAAAAGTTCAGGGTAAATCTTTTATCGATTTTGTGACTGACAGATTGTGGAATTATGTAACCATTTTCAGCACTTTTCTTCCCAAAATAGGACATTCAACAGCCTATTTAGAACATTCTCCGGTTCTGTAGCGAGTTCGTATCAATAAGCTCGATAATTTTCATTGTATTGTATCTCGCAACAGTTTTACTTCTAATTCATTCCGAAAAAGGAAATTAAACTTTAATTTCGCTTGCACTACGTCGGTTATTCATTGCCATGTCGTTTAAAATAGACCGAATAAGATGGCTAGACCACAGGACAGATGTTTTTGACTCTTAAATACTATTATATAAGTAATGGGGGAGGCCTCATTACGCCTGTAGTCTAACTAAACTTTATCGGTTTAAAACACCTACATTTTAAATGATTTTACAATGGATGGTTGATATAAATGAAATTGTAAAACTACGTAGAGGTAAAATTTTGACATTGTCCGTCATTCACACGAGCCAAAGTCACAAATATCTAAGTTATTATAATACTGATTAATTTATCACTTACATCATTTACCAAAGTTACGTGATTGGTCAGTTATCCGAACATTCATCTCTATTGCAGTCTTGTTTTATTATACTGACAAAGGAATGAACATTACTATACTTTAGTTCAGAGTTTCCCAACATGGGTCCGCGAAAAAAAAAAAGAAACATTACTTGGATTTTGCAGGTTCACTACTGAAGCATGTTGAGAAACTCTGTCCTATTCTTATGACATAGGAATTCTACAAATATTTCAAACATACTACACCAATCCTGGGCTCAGAATTCTCAATACAATATTCCCAAACAAGTTACACCGACGTAGTGCACAATAAAACGCCCAAGCGCTCCGCACGACAAGCCTATATTACTATATTACAATATCTACAAGGAAGCCAAGCTCATATCATAGAATTATAATAAAAAACGCGACATCTATAGACTATGTGTAAAAGCTAAAACTGTCAAACTCGGATGCTACCGCGAAAATTGTAAAATTACTATTAATTAATCGTTTATTTACTTAATTGGCCCATTTATTTAGTAGACTAACACTAACCTACCTTGGCACTAGTCTTGTTGGCACATCACAACACTTCACTATATGCTGGCCCGGTGGGGGGGCAGTTGGAACGTGAGGGTATCGTTCACGAAGTACTGGTCCTGCTCCTCGTCGTCGGGCAGGTAGTACCCGTAGCTACCGTCGTTCGACACTTGATCCGGTCCGTGGGTTCGCGGCATTTCACATGTATAGTCCTCCCAGTTCCTGTCTATAGATTTTCTCCTCTTAGCGAAGAGTATTGAGCCGTCGAAGGCGTATTCGTCATCGAAATGCAGTACAGCATCGTCGTAGAAGTAGTTTTCTACTCGTTTGTTACTGGTGTTCCTAGCTATGTTCTTCATGAGTTTCTTTTTCGCGTAGCTGGACTTTTCCGAGTCGTAATCGTCTACTAGCGGGTCGTTGCTGCGGTTTTCTGACCTCATGTTCATGGAGTAGAGCGAGGAACTATGAGGGCTGGTCTCTAGCCGAGTGCTCAGACTATGTCTGTAGGGATGTAGGTACTGTTCGTTGTTATTACACCTCATTTCATACATCATCATGCCTCTCCGGAGCTGTTCTCGTCTCTTAGTGACCATTTCTCTGAAATCCTCAGGTTCTAGTTGGAAGTCATTGGTTTTTGCATTCATGTATAAGTAGCCTGAGGCTGAATTTAGTCGCAGAGACTGCGACCGGTTCTTCGATGATGATTTTTCAATGTAGCGCGGTATGCTACCGAGTTCGCGATAGTTCTTTGATTTGATTTGTCTGATGTTGGTTGGTGGTACCGGCGACAGTGGGTCGCGATATGGTATTGACCTGAAAAAAGTAATATAGATCAATTATTACACATTTGCGAAGATGTATTTCCAAAGTAGTATGAACTGTAATGTGTAGTATACTTACTTGTTTGGTCCGAAGCAATTACAGGAACAACTGCAGACGCTGGGCGCGTACTCCTCATCTACATACAGCGGCACTAGCGAGGTATCTCCTGGAAACATCATATTTTTATGTTAATATAGTTATTACAAATTATGTTACATTTGTTTTTTGTCTTAATTTTAATCATCACATGACCAATAAAACATATATATTATTAACAAATAATTTACCTGACTATATCAAAATTCGATAAGCAATAAACTCATACAGTCTCTTGACATACCACATCTGATGCTTCGAGGATCCCTAGACGACGCTGATCATTTACTATCAGGTGACATTTGCTCAGGTAAAAAAATACATAGAAATATAATTTGTACATACCAGCAGTAATCTGCCTGGGGTCAGCAGGTAGGCGTGTGCCGCGCGACACTCCCCGTAGCACGGCGCCGTCCGCCGTGATCACGTCGCCTTCTAGTCTCACTGCTACTTGCTGCGCCTGGAAAAAACCGTTTGTTTTTTGAGACGATGCTTTTATAAGTAGTAGTTTGTATCTGCAATCCTGTAGTCAATGGATGAATTAGATAAATAATAGAAAATAGAAAAAAGTGTGGGAGAACCATGATAGGCTGGCTCGACCGCAGTAATACCACGGCCTCACAGAAAACCGACGTGAAACAATGCTTGCGTTGTGTTTCGTCGTTACCGGAGGCCCAATTACCCCCCATCTCCAGTCTCCCCAATCCGCGAATCCTCCACAATCCTCAAATTCCTAATTCCTAAAAGCCCGGTAACGCACTTGTAACGCCCGTGGTGTTTCGGGTGTACATGGGCGACGCCGATTGCTTACCATCAGGTGATCCTGCTGCTGTTTACCGGCTTATCCCATAAAACAGTAAATATATATATGACCTACTATGCCTATACGCTCAACTACAATAACGTGAGTTTTAAATCTAATTATAAGGTTGATATATCATCAGATAGGTGCGAGCATAATTTTTGGTGCTCCAGACACTTGTAAGCTACGTTAACTGTTTATATCTGGTTCACCGATGTTTAAAATACAATATGAATAACGAGAATACAGCACGGAGATTAAGAAGATATAATAAGATAGTTCGGACCATTCAAAAACAGGCGTTGTGCCAAGAGGGAGAGGGAGAATATAGCTCCTGACTTTGTGCACTTACAAAAAGCTGGTGAAACCCTGAAATTCAGATAGACATTATTTTACATACATAACATCACGCCTTCTATCCCCGAAGGAATAGGCAGAGGTGCACATTGCGGTATGTACAATGTAACAACCACTTTTCACTATTCATGTTTTTTTTAATGTTACAAATTAATTCTCAATGGACTCTTGATCCGTGCCTTGTCATACAATTTTTTTATTACAATTCATCTAGTAAATTTTTTGTAAAGTAAATAAGGTACCTAGTTACACGCTACAATTAACCACATGTATAATTATTACTAAAAGTATAAATTACACACTATTTATGTTATGAGTCCCATGTAATAGGGGGTGAGCCTTTTGCCATATACCGGGAACAATTCCAGACTCCGTACAGTAGTACGGAGTCTCAGTCGGAATCTCAGTAGTAACTGAGATTTAAAAAAAAACCATTAATATTTTGCCCGACCCGGGAATCGAACCCGAGACCCCTTGCCCGGCAGTCACACTTGCGACCACTCGGCCAACGAGGCAGAAACAATTTTCATTTCCTTTAACACTATTCCTCAATCTCAGCAGCTGTAGCCAAATGCCATTTAGCGCTTATTTACATGTAGAATAGAAAACCTAATTATATGGAATTTACGTAAATTTTTACACTTGTCTATGTCATCCCCATACATTTTGATTTCTACTCTCTCTGTAGACAAGCGCTAAAGTGGCGTTTGGCTAAAGGCACTGGTTATATACCTGTTCAGCTTGTGCCTGATCTCTCTTTTCATCCTCAGTGTTCATGGTGACGAACCGTAGCACCAGCAAGTTGAGGCAGGCAGCCACTATAGCCAGCCCGAACAGTATGAAGATCAGGGCAAACATCACGTATGATGGCTTCTTGTTCAACGCGTTGTCCTTTTGTAGAGCTACCATGTCTCCGAAACCTGAGGGTTGAATGAATGAGAATGAATTAGACTTCTAATTTTAATAATAGGGTACTTTTTAACCCGGAAAAATTGATATTCCCGAGGAAAAACAAAAGTATTGGTATAGATGACGCTGTGTGTATTGGTATGTCACATAGGCTACTTTTTATTCTTTTGTGACGCGAGCGAAGCCGCGGGTAAAAGCTAGTAAATAAATAAGTAGTTAACTGTGACTAAGTTCAATACAGAGTTTAACAAATGTCTAATTTATTCTCAAAAAACAATTCAAAACCACTTACCAATGGTAGTTAAAGTGATAAAACAATAGTAGACACTATCGAAGTAGCTCCATCCTTCAAACTTGGAGAACGCTGCAGCACCACCAGCTATAGTGAGTGACGACAGTGTGGTCACCACACAGATCAGGTCCACTTCTGATGCATTCGTCTGCTTGCAGTTCAAAGCGCCCTTTATTGATTTTATTATTACGCTGGAATTTAGAGAAAGAAGGTTTTAAATAGGATTTTATAGGACATAACATAACATCACGCCTTTTATCCCCGAAGGGGTAGGCAGAGGTAACATCCACTTTTCACTATTTATGTTATGAGTCCCATTAAGGGGTGAGTCTATTGCCATATACCGGGCACATTTCCAGACTCCATGCTACTACTGAGATTTTTTTTAAAAACACAGTAATATTTTGCCCGACCCGGGAATCGAACCCGAGATCCCTTTCCGGCAGTCACGCTTGCGACTACTCGGCCAACGAAGCAGTCATTTTATAGGACTCACAAGATTATTAAGTATTTGGTTATTTTTCTTATCATTAGAAGACAAAAACACGAGTATAAGTAAAAAAGAAAATCTAAATACGCTGATAGGTCTAAATTACAACAACTTTACGTACATACATAGATAACTTCACGACTGTCTCCCATGGGGAGATGGTAGGCACAGACTATGGAACGCCAATTACTACGATTACGACTTCATCAACAGTCATCAATCTTTTCATGCATGCTCGTTGGTTAAGGGTACTTTTAATTTGGCCCTTCTTTAATATATCGCCTATCTGGTCACTATATGACCAACTTTACACCTCTAATAATGAGCACATATTTTATTTCAGCCTAAAGAGCCAAAACCTCACTTCACTTAACTACTTCTATATAATAGGGTACAGTGTACGAAAATTAAAAATGTAATTAGTCCGTCACTTAGATAATGTAAAAATATTAGACACATATTTTTTTATTTTGTCGTATAAGAAAACAATATTTAGATAAAACGGAGTTAAGTTTAGGAGGTCGTTACGTCACGCTACCCTATAAAATATAATAAATCGTGACGTCAAACGATATTTCAAATCAATATATCGTTAATTTTGTAAGAAAAGACAAGATACATATCTAATGATTTAAAATAAATCTACCAGACGGACATTAAAGTTAGTTGCTTGATTCTTGCTCACACCATTAACTCTTCTCTGCATCACCCAAAGGTCAGACTGGGAGAAAATGCCTGCAGCATTAAGTCCACCTTATGTACATTTTGTGCATGAAGCTTTAAATAAATAAATAAATAAATTAAAATAAAATTTAGGAAACTACCCTATTATTTTTCTCCACGTAATTAAACAGATAAAACAGAGTTGCTAATCACTACATAGTATAAAACAAAGTCGCTATCCGCCGTCTGTCTGTTCCTATGTATGCTTAGATCTTTAAAACTACGCAACGAATTTTGATGCGGTTTTTTTAATAAATAGAGTGATTCTTAAGGAAGGTTTTTACGTATAATACATGCATATTGCACCCGTGCGAAGCCGGGGCGGGAAATCCTAGGTCATATCTGCTACAACTTACCTACTAAGTCTATTAACCCTTTCACCAATACTCTGGAACATGATGAGGCCCAGCGGTATGCCAACTATAGCATAGAACATTGTGAACAGCTTGCCACCGATCGTTGCTGGTGTTGAGTGCCCATAGCCTGTTGAAAAAGACAATCAATTATTGTAATAGTACAGGATGGATAGGGCTTTCAACATACATACATTCATAATATTACGCAGTTCACCCCCGAAGGGATACGCATAAAATTATTTTATCAACCAATCATAAATCATAAAGAGAGAACTATGTTTTTATAATAACTATCGTGAGACATACTAAATTAAGTAAAAACGCGGGTTATTCACGTGAATATACTGAGAAAAGCTCTACTAGTTTCGAACCACAGAGGGGTCCTTCCTCATGAGAGAGAACTATTTTATAATCAACTAGCTTTACGGCTGTGGCTTTGTCTGCGTTGAATTTAAAAAAGATTTCTGTATATGTACATAACTTCACGCCGAAGGGATAGGCAGAGAGGCACATTACGGCACTTAATGCCACTGTACAATGAAAAACCCTTTACACTATTTATGTTATGAGTCCCATGTAATAGGGGGTGAACCTATTGATATATACCGGGCACAATTCCAGACTCCGTGCTACTACTGAGAATTTTTTTAAAAACCCGTGGTTCTTTGCCCGACCCGGGAATCGAACCCGAGACTCCTTGCCCGGCAGTCGCACTTGCGACCACTCGGCCAACGAGGCATTCATAAACACACATAAATAAATAATGTATAAACAAAAAAAAACTTTATTACACACGAAAAACCAAGTGACTAGTACAGATTATTGTTAGTATATTAGTATGGTACAGATAGATACAATTATGTCCCAAGTATGCAGTGAAATGAGACCAGTTCATCATGTGCAGGACGGGGCCTGGCGCGGGTATTCTACTGGCCCTTTAATCTTGCGTGGTTCATTTTAAAAAAGAAAAATGGTGAGTTATAATCCATTGCATTTGTTGCATTGGGTAAGAAGAACACATTACTTATAGTTATGATGATGACTCCGAGTACCTTATTTAAGACTTTGACTGCCAATAAAAAACTGTTGAAGGTAAATCCTCCGCTAACGCCGTTCACCGGTGACCCCCATGGCGTTTAACGTGTTAAGTACATTAAAATTTTCGTGAGACATACTGAAATTATTATATTTTCGGCCTACTCACGTAACTGTTTGACGAGGAACTCTACTAGTTTCAAGCCACGCTAGAGGCTCATATTCACGCGCAGCATTGCGCGCAACGTGCCGACTGTCGTGCTGCTACTATGCTGATATCAGCCTCTAGCGTGGCATGAAGCCAGTCGAGTTTCTCGTCAACCAGTTACGTGAGTAAACCGAAAACTTAATTCTTAATGGAGTGCCTAGTTAGTAAAAAAATTGGTTGCCTGTAAAGTCGGTATACAGGCGAAAGGTTTACGTGACAACGACTTTGAGTGGTAAAGCGCAAGACATGAACCGGTGTGTATGCCTATCTCTCTCACTCTCTCTTTCGCTCTGTCTCTCTCGCTCTTAGGCGGGCTAACTGTGCTCGAGTGGAAGGGACGCGTGCCTTTCACTTTTTATGTCTGTCTCTCTCGCTCTTAGGCGGGCTAACCATGCCCGAGTGGAAGGGACGCGTACTTCTCACTCGCTCTCATTGTGAGCGCATAACGTGAGCGGAGCGTAACGCAGTTTCTTGAAGTGTCACCCGGCAAACCAATTTATAAGATGTTGTCATGTCAATAGTATGCCTACTTACCAATAGTCGTAAGTACGGTAGTAGCGTAGTAGAATGCTCCTGTGAACTTCCACTGCTGTCCAGCCTTATGTGGCTCCGACTTGAGGACCACTGTCTCCATCACACGGAAGTCTTCCTCAGTTATATTGTACTTCCTGATGATCATGCCTTCGATAGCTGTGGGTGAACGATAGGGTTAGTGTTTTATCAGAAGCATGGGATAAAGAATGGTGTTGTGTTGTTTGATTAATTCAATACCTATAATAAATATTTTTGGCTACAATGCAAATATGAAAAACAGTCAAATTGAAAACTAAAAATATATACCTAATCAATAATATAAAGACAATTTTTTTATGGAATAGGAGGCAAACGAGCAGACAGTTCACATGATGGTAAGCGATCAGCGCCGCCCATGGACACCCGCCACACCAAAGGAGTCACAGGTACGTTGCCAGCCTTTTAAAAAGGAATACGCTCTATTCTTGAAGGTTTGAAGGTCGTATCGGTTCGGAAATACCGCCGAAGTAATAAAATTAAACTAATCTATGTATGAACATAACATAAACTTATTATCTTCATTAAGGATAATTTTATGATGTACAAGTTAGTTTTTCTTCATTTTTCTATATTTCTTATGTTAATTTTAGTTGTAAATACCTACTTCAGTTTGTATTTATCTTAACTCTAGTTATTTATTATATAAAAAGTACATAGTTAAAAGTTATTAAAGGCCGAATTGCGCAGAGGCCCTTTAGACAACTTTGATCTAAATGTAATGGACACACAAACCGGCGACTATCCTGTATGCACTATGGAAATGCACCCAAGGACAGACCCCGGCACACAACCTCATTTATTAGTATAACAAAGTCTAATACTTTGAAATACCTACCTAATGACTATTTCAGTGACATGAGTTTAATCCTACAAGTGTTCCCGGACCTATATATTTTTTTTGTTTATAATTGTGACCAGGTAGAAAAAAAAATTCACATTTTTTTTTCTACCTGGTCACAACATAGAATAGAAACATTTTATACTTAATGCAGACTTAGCCATGATGTGGAACTGACTTTGATAGGTGCTTTGAATTAAAAAATTTAACTAAAAATAAGAATAAGAATAATTTATTAGTAAATACTCCCCTTACAATTTGTTTTTAAATAACAATATTAAAGTTAAATTATGATTTTTTATTTATTTATATATTTATTTATTCCACTTACATGATAGTCTGTTAACTAGCTAATTAATAATAGGTACATTATTATGATTAAAACTATGGACAAAAAAATAAGAGGACTAATACTAATATTTGTCGCGATTTGCTTGAACTAGGTTTATGCAACCTGTGTATATATGTTTATTTCAACTACAACTGACTAGTTAGATTCTAAATAATTGATCATAACTTTTTAAATAATAACCCCCATGTATTGCCAACATTTAACAATATAATTGGAGCCTACTGATTGGTTGTCATGGTAACTAAACACAAACATTAATGAACCTGAGTAAAAGTTCTATTGCTTCTTGAAAATGTTAATTTAAACAAATAGTTTATATGTGAATCTTCAGTGCATAAGTAAAAAAAAACATGTTTATTAAATTATCAAGTAAGTTACATACATAAAGTTTAACCCATATATTCCCAAGCAGTCACCGGTGACTGCTCTCCCCTAACTACATTATAGACCATTTCCAATGTTAATAAGAATCTCTCATAAACTCATAAAGAGTCATTGACTCTAATTAGATTTAGTTTGTTTATCCCTAAGAGAACTCTCTGACCATAATTTCAAGTATTTATTGCATCCATAATATACACATATGTACATGTGGTTAGAAAATACAATCATGGACCCTGTTGGCCTGTCGGGCACAGCAAAATTTAAAATAGATAGGACAGAGAAAAGGTATAAAGGGGAATTTCTTAGATGGCACTTTATATCTCCCAAAAAGATAAAAAGCCTATGTGACATATGCTAATACACAGCGCCATCTATACCAATAATTTCGTTTTTCCTCGAGAATACCAAATTTTTTCGGGATAAAAAGTACCCTATTATTTAATCCAGACTTCTAACTTTACGTCTGCACAAATTCAAAGCAATCGGTTTAGTAGTTACGGCGTTAAAGTGGAACAAACAAACTCACTTTCCGATTTATAATATTATAGTAAGGATTGTAGGTCTTGGCATATTGGCCTAGAGAAGTGTCTCCGGTTACAGAAGTGAACTATAATAGACCAATGCAATAGATACAGTTAACTAGGAAAATCTGCAGAGAAATTAAAGTTTTTGTGAGATGCAAATTGGAAATCTCAAATGATTTTGCTTTATGTTTTATGCGGACAAATGTTTTGATGCTCTCTGTAAATTTCATTTATTTATTTAATTAATTTTTATCTCATTTATTTTATTTTTTCATTTCTTTTTCATTTATTTGGTTTTTATCTTTTATTATTTACCTTTATCTACCATACCTTTATCTTTTATTATTTTTATTTATCTATAATGCCTTAAGTATATCTCAGTTTTAATAAAATGTTTTTTTTAATATCAATTTCAAATATCTCTATTACATCTTCAACTTTATTTTATTGCTTTAAAGTTGAAAATTCAATGAATATTATTTGATAGATTGGAGTTAGTTTATTTGCTGGCTACTGTACCTCTACAGCTGTCTAATAATAACAATAATAAAATAATAGCGGTCACCGGTGACCACTCTCCACTAATCCATTATAGACCTTATTTCCAATGTTTAGAGACTATTTTTGTATGAACAAATTTTGAGGATTATCAGTACAATATATAAACATATTAATTGCCAATATAACAAAATAAAATTAAAATAACAACAGGAGTTACCAACCTTGCAAAACTTCAAATCGGTTCCTCTCAGTAGTAGACTCAAGCGCATCAAACACAGCGGCACCAACCAGTAAATAAGTAAATGTGCACACAATCAATGATAGAGTGCGAACATTTTGTTTCTTCATCACTGCCGAGTGTCACCACGGCCTTAGGGCGTAGCGCCCAACCCCACCCTTATTGCGATTCAGTCAAATAAACACCATATTGTCTTCTTTTTATTAATATAACATTAAGTAACCATTGTAGGTTAGTATAAGAAAATCTAATGACATTTGAATTTGGAATCCATTTTTGGCGGCAACTTTTCAGCACAGGTAATCAATATACAGCCTGTCAATTTAGCTACAAAGATGATATGCTTGCTACTAGAATTTATTGTTTTTATTTCCCTTGTTCGCATCAGTTGTGTATTATATAATGAAATCACAACCTGAAACTGTCTCTTCAATAGGTATATTAATTTTAATTTAATCAAAGAGGAAATTGGAATATGTTTATAAATAAAAATTCTATGATTAAATTGATCCCTTCAAAGGAAGTTGTGTCTAAATTGTGTTTTCGTTATCTGTTTTTCTGTACTTTGTTTTGTTTTTCCAGGAGTTATAAAACTTCCATCCATAGTGTTTATTTGAACAACTGTTGGACCTGCAAGAGTATTCAGGTTAAATGTATTGATTCTTACAATTTTGTATTTTGTCTTTAGAAAAATGTTGCTTATTGTGCTCATGAATTAAAAATCAATAGGTACTACAACATTAGCACATGTGTGTAAATAAAATTATGAAAACATAATTATAAATCAATTGATTTTGTATGTTACTGGCATAAAAACAAAGCATAATAAGTAGAATATAAAACAATAAACCTATTTGGAATAAATAGTCGCAATCAGTGCAACAATTTAAATGTGGAGCGATAATATTCGTAATTCAAAAAATAATTAAAACAAAGAAAACTCACCAGTTATCAGTGTAAAAGGTCACGGATACTTGCGTCTGCAATTTATCACACAATTGGATATCACCAACGGCATCTATAAATATTTAATTATCTGCAAAGCTGTATCCTAAAAATAACATCGTGCTTTAGTCCGCATTCACATCTATAGGTCAACGCACACGGCACTGTAACTGGGTCAAATGTTATGACGATTATTTCCAACATAAATCGCGAAGGTAACCCACGTAAACGGTACCTCTGAGCGATTAACAGTCATACTGAGTTATCAGATGATCGAATTTTAATAATATTAACCATTTTTGAGCTAAAATCTTCTATGCGGTATTCCTTAGCTGTCACACCACCTAGTTTTCATCTGTCCTACAACAACCACTCTCACTACCTCCAATCATTACGATGTCCGCGCTACATTATCTCACTCCAATTTCAACTAAATAATAAAGAAACAATACACTTAATAGCATTTCATAAAAATAACAAAAAATTGGCGAATAGTTTTTCTGCTGCACTTCCTTGACCTGGTTTGTGTGGCCATACTAAAAAATCAGTCTGCTGCATTTTCCCTTGCCAAAATATTTTTTTGATTGCTACTAAAATAAATAAAAGTTTCAGTATGTTCTTGTATTTAGCTTGATAATTGGATTACAAATAATTAGTTAAATTATGTCAAAACGTATTTAAATTATATTTATAGAACATTTCTGGCGAAAAAAATTCGCGAATTTACTAGTAGTCATCAAAATATTTCATAGATGGGGTGGCGATCTGAATGAGAAGTTGTTTGAAATTAATTCATATATTAATCCACAGATGGCATTCTTCTCAAGAGCAAAATCTTCAAGCTTGTGATTATTTTGTTAGTTATTTGTTTGCACTTTATAATGACTAATTTCTAGAATACTTAAAATTTCATAAAGGTTTTGACGCAAAATTCTATTTAATGGTCTAATATTATGTTAATCGTACTGGTACTGACTAAGTTTGTTAAATATCAAGTCAGTTCAAGATAGGCAGGTAAGATAGGTTTCTAGTTAACTTTGAGGCAAACTTAATTAATTAATTGCTAAACATAAATTTTAAAACCCAAGTCAATAATTGAATAAGCAATAGGCATAATTATAAGTTCTCATAGTTATTTCTTTTATTTTATTTTTAGCTATATGGTCGACATGGTCGTCCCACTGCAGGGCAAAGGCCGCCTTTCCCCCCTTCCACTCGTCTCTTCTTATAGCTTTCTGTGACCAATCCTTTTCATAGGCGTCCAGTTCATTCCGCCATCTCCTTCTGTACCTACCGCGACGTCCATTGACGTTGAGTGGGCTCCACTCAGTAGTGAGTTTTGCCCAAGTTGTCATAATGCTGTCGCTTATTGCTGGTTCGTAGACTTAGTTACGAAGTATGCTACACTTTTTTTGGGACAAACACAACCTCCCAAAACCGCTGCAACTCCTGTAAGCCAGGATCTACAGTAGATACAACCATGAAAACACCGGAACACTGAAGTCCGGTGCGTCCCAGGGACATGAGTAACTGTTTTGGTTCCCGCAACGAAGTGAATCAGAAGATATTATAAGAGTAGAAGAAGAAAAAAACTATGGTTTCCACTTCCCTCGGTCAATTACTGCAGGAGACAGAATGAATTAAGCCTAAAGGCACAAAGAAGAGACTGTACAACTGGGTGAAGCCCAGTCGCCAAGCACCACGGAAATTTGACTAAAAACTAAGTAGGCTACACTGTCAAAAACCTAGACCGATTCAGAGATTGTGGATTGAAGTAGGTTTTTAATTCCAGCCGTTTCATACTTTTCATTCATTTACTCACCCAAAAAACGTTTAATACGACACAAACAGTTACCGATATAGGTACCCTACTGTGAAATACCTTCTAATTGCAGTTAGGGCCAAGATGGCGGCCGTCTGCGCCGGCACACGCAGCCGGCGCGTGCACGGCTACCGGCCCATGAAGCGAAAGCTGGTCCTAGGTTAGCTTTCACATGATTTGTGAGTTGGGATACTGTGATTGATATCGTTTTGGTGTGATTTTTTTAAAACTTGTCAAAAATATCTTTCAAAAGTACAAATAGTGTAATTTCTTTCAACTTGAGTCGACTGTTATACCTTGGGGCGAACCTGTTCATCATGGATCCATATTCCAAACTGACAAAAAGAATTTGAAAAACGAAGGATTTAACCTCTCCGATCGAGTATCAAACCCGAGACCTCATGTAGTGCTCATAGTGCAGCAACAATCTTATTCTATAATAACTTATTCTTAAAATGGTCATTACACCTCTATAACCATACTAGATCTTGCTGCGCAGTGTCATAAAATTGAGATGCAAAATGCTTTGTTGCACTCTAAAGGAGGGGGAGGGGGGAAGGGGGAGGTGTACTAGACCTTTCTCTCAAGTTCTGGGTCAAACCTTTATGTAAGAATTGTTTATACAGCTCGTGCTAACCGTGGGGGCGTCGGTTCGAGTCCGGTTTGCGGTAATTGTGTGAGGGTATTGGTATTGGTCTAGCTTGTTGAAAGTAATTGAATGGCGAGTATTAGTGCTTTTGTGGTGCTTTGTTCTTTATGTGGGTAGACTGACTTGCAGTGTTTAAATGGAGGAATTGTTTGGACCTAGACTTTCTTTTTTGAGACCTAGTTTTGATGAGTAGGAGCGTTTTGAAGTTGATGAAGTTCTTCTTTTGACAGAATCGTCCTGAAAAATTACGTGTACGTACTTACACAATTTTATAACTGGTAGGTGACTGATGAGCAATTAAACGGATAGATTTGATAAAAGAATTTGAAACCCTTCGGGCTTTCCGGCCGGCACGACCGGAGTGATACCACAGCCTCACTGAAAACCGACGTGAAACAACGCTTGCGTTGTGTTTCGTCGTGTGAGTGAGGTTACCGGAAGCCCAATCCCCTCCCCAGTCTCCTCTATCCCCGAATCCTCCATAATCCTCAAATTCCCAATTTCCAAAGTATAGTCCTATAGTCCCGGCAGTGGACTGTCCTGGGCCAGGACAAGTCCTGGGCTGGTGACGATGATTATTAATCTCTATAGTGTAGGTATGTAGCTAAAATGTTCCTAAGAATGTAAACGTAAGTGCCGAAATATAGATGTAGATATACACGTATTTAATATAAAAAGCACTCATTCTGAAAAGAGAATAGTGCCCGTTTTCACTATCCTCTCCAAAATTTAAAGAAACCTTAGGGGTTTCTTACGGCTGGAGCCTGGAAGACTTAACGGGTAGACGGGGGCTCCGTCTCGAAATACAGGAGTAGGAACGGGGTGGTTTTTAGTCAGTAAGAGTCTGACACTCCTTTTCACCTCACCCGGGCGGGAGAAGTCATTAAATGATTTTCTCCCCTCAAGAAAAAAATAAAATAAAAGAAGTATCTTTCTGCTAAGATAGGTAAATGACACTCAACGTCATTCTTCTTTTCATCAATCTATACCTACCCTATCCTAACATTACAAGTGACGTTTAACTAAGTGATAATTTAGGGGTAATTGGCGAAAATAGTCATAGGTATAGCAAAGTCATTAGGGGAGGCCTATGTTCAGCAGTGGACGTCCTGTGGCTGATATGTTGATGATGATCAAAAATAGGTACTTATTATTTTAAAAACTCATTTACTAAACTAAAACGAAACCTTGTCTTCGGTCCCTACCTCCATCGAAGGTTCCGGAGCCCTTTCACTGAGGTAGAAAAGCGTGACAGTTGGCCCTTACTGACGCAAGTCCGTTACAAATTGTGTCGTTCTAATTGGCTGGTAATGAAATGACGCCATCTTGTTTTGGCTAGGTAAAGTTCAGTGTCATGTTTGAGAATGATCTTAGTGTTACATCATATTTAAGATTCATAAGAGTAAATATTCTTCGGATGTACTTAGGTAGAGAAAACAAAACGATGATTCCTATAAGTATAGATGGTACTTCAAATTTAAACCTGTCTTCTAAATAAATAAAAATGAATTTCTGTTCGTTAATCTCGCTAAACCTCGAGAACGGCTGAACCAATTTGGCTAATTTTGATCTTGAAATGTTCGTAGAGGTCCAGGGGACGTTTTTAAGGTTAGAAAAAAATTAATTACTAAATCATAAATAAATAAATAACTTGCAAAAATGTAAACCTTCCCCAATGACTTCCAGAGCTATTC